CTGCTGTGCTGTTGCACAGCAACACGTGCACAATGTTGCACGAACATTATCATGCCGTTTTGGAGGGAGACTCCCAGCATGCAGCCAGGCAGCTCTGTATCCATCCCCCAGTTGGTCAGGATGGCTGTGCTAGTGTCCTCCACCATGGCTGCCTCCAACACCCTGTTGCCAAAGATGTCCCCCAGCTCCCAATGGACCATGGGCTGCAATTTCTGGAGGAGCGTTGCGTTGTTCCAGAAATAGTTCATCCAGTTCAGGAGCTGGAGGCTGCCCACAGGTTACCTAGACACCCCTTCTTGCAGCCCACAGCTGGGGAGCTCCAGGGCAATAGAGGTCACGGGCAGCTGGGAGCTCTTCCTACCTGGTGGACACAGACCAATGCTGTCACGGACGGTGTGATGACATGCTCCATGCAGTCATCATCCGCCCACACCAAGTGCACGATGGAGAGCCTCCTCTTCCAGAAGAGCACTTAGGCTTTATCTCAACCAACTGCAAGATGCAGTCAGAAGAATTGGTGGAGGCATAGGATCACGCAGCTGTCCAGGCATATGAGACAGCAGTCCACCAGCTCCGTGGCAGTGCCCTCCACGTGCTGCAGTGCGCCGAGGGTAGCGGGCAATGATGAGCTGCTTCCTCTCCCCAGCGCTGCAGCAGTAGATGTCGCTCTAGAAGAGAGCCCACAGTCACTGGCTTGCCCAGAGATGGGTGGAAGAAATGCCCAGGTCCCCCAAGAAGCAAACCCGCCCAGGTCCCCAGGGTGAGATGTCCCCACCCAGCTCACCTCTGCTGCTGCAAGTGCACCTCCTGGATGCCCCAGCTGCCTGAACCTGGCAGGGCCGGGGGAAATCCTTCACTAGCTCTGGGGTTGGGCACTGATGGCTGCAAGAAACTCCCCAAACACAACACCAGTACCAGGGCCTTGCTCAATGCTCCAAATCTCATGAACTTCCACAGCTGGAGCCCAGGCATGAGCTGGCTGAGACTCAGCACCCAAATATAAGCAGCAAGAGACACCTACTCACAATCTACCACTTGGGGACATCACAGTCCACCACTCAAGGATATCTCAATGGGTCATCCTCATCCACAACACTCGTTCTGGCAGCGCTATGGCCGCAGCATATGTGTCTGGGGTTACCACAGCACCACTGCGCACTCCATCCCCTCATCTCTTGTCTTGTGCTCAGCATTGGTGTTTCATCGGTGTTTCACTCCCAGGCCCCATCAGGTTGCTGTGACTGTGGTAGAGGTCTCCAGGCACGTATGGCAAGATGGCTCACTTTGTAACACCCTTATGCCTCCTTGGGAGGATGCAGTACAAAGTCACAGGCCACAGTCCAGAGCATGACTGTCAAAAGCCATGAAGGGAGGCGCGCTTAAGTCCTGGAAAAGAACGCAGTTAGTGGGAAATACAGCCATGTTTTCCAAAGGTACAACAGCTTCAAAAAGGTTTTGACTTTCTGTTTTCATGTGGTTTGGCAGCTTTAACAAACATTTTGGGATAGAACAGTTCCAGTTAGAAGGGATCTACAGCAATCATCTAGTGCAACTGCCTGATCCCTCCAGGGGCTGGCCAAAAGTTAAAGCCTATCATGAAGGACATTGTCCAAATGCCTCTTTCTAAGGCACTGAGAGACACGGGACATTGACCACCTCTCTAGGAAGCCTGTTCCACTGTTTGGCTACCCTCTTGGTAAAGAAATGCTTCCAAACAAGTGTGAACCTCCCCTGACAGTTTCTTACCAGTCCCACACTGTGCTACTGGAAAGCACAGCTCACTGTGAAGTACACATAACCCACACCACCTGAGGTACCCGAGGTAAAATACTGGCTGCTTGGTCTTAATTCCCACAGTAACCATGCCCCTGCCTGAGAAGGGCCTTGTAAAGAATTTCTTAAGGAAAAAAATCAAGCACCCTCAGTGCTTGACCACATACAAAAGGGTGTTTGGACAGAGCTGTCATGGAAAAATGGAAGCATGCACATCCCATTTAGCTAATATGAGGAACAGTGAAAGGATCAAACAAACCTGATACCGATAAAAGCACTCAAGATATTTTCTATTTAAATGTGAGGTCTGTTGAACACACGTTTTCTCCCTACCTCTTCCCCTTGTCATAAAACAACTCTTCCCACAGTAGTAACTGAAGAATTTCTCCAGAAGACAAGGACTAGCATTAGTACTTCTCTCTTTTGGGAAAACTCAAAACCTATTTTTTCTTCCCATTTCAAAGAAAAACCAAAAACAAACAAAAACCCAGCGAGAACAAATTGAACCTGTTGGTGGCAGACAGCATAGCTCTGGCGGGGGGGTTGGACTGGATGAGTTTTTGAGGTCCCTTCCAACTCCTAATATTCTGTGAAAATGAATGAAAATTCTAGTTCTTAACCATCACTTGCCACTTGATGGGGGTGGTGAGCTAGTTATGCAGGCCTTGGCTTACAAACACAAAACAAACTGTCCCATTGACTATAAATAGCAAATTTTTAGTTTTAAAACAAACAGTGTGACAAAGTGCCACAACCCAAGTGTATTTGGAAAGTTTAAGACCTGCTTGTTACATGATACCAAAGCTAAATTCCACATGACACTTACACATTAAGTGTTGTCAGGTTAAATCAATAGCATTTCAAATAACTATACCAGATAGTTTATTATGGGAAAGATCAAGAGATCACTTGCTCTGTGTGACTGGCAAAACCAAACTGCACCTCCTCTGAAACATAACTATTGATATAGAAGACTTTTCTATACACATACTGAAAGTTATTTTTATCACTGTCTGCTACTCTTCATTTACTTCCCTCTTCACAGATGTTATCTCAGGGAATAAATGGTATGCCCAACATCTTTTTCCTTTCAGCGCTTTGCAGATCTTAATCCTATCTGTAGGTTAAAACAATGCTACCGAGGCTTGAAAAGCTTTACTGTACAGTGTAAAAGATAAAAGAGATGGATAACAGGCTAACGTCATCTGTGCTTCAAAGGACTAAAATCTGTTGAAGACAGCTCTTACGTTTTATGGCAGAGCCAAGATACCATTAACTGTTCAAATATTAAAAAGATCCGTGTACCAAATATGACTTGTCTAGGCACGAAACAATCAATTAGAGAAAAAGAGTGAACTCATACCTTTCCAATGGCATGCACAGAAGTGATTACATGTAAAAAACAAAGCCATAGCTCAGTTTCTTGGACTTCTAGTGACAGAACAGGTAGATCCCAGCTGATTGATCACTCCCCCATACTGCCATGCTTATTACCTGCCATGTTGATGTGAATTAAGTTTATTCTGGAGAAAGAAGCCACGCTTAGCAAGTGTCAGTCCAAACTGCAGAGCTGTACAAAGCAGAGTTCTGCACCCCAGGAGATCAGATTAGAAACAGCTTTAGAAATAATCAGTTGCAGCTAGAGAGGTGCAGAATACAGAAGAAGAAAGAGGAATGGGATGGACCACAGAAATAGATATGGGTGCCCAGCATGCCTTAAATACAAATTATTTCAAGCAAGTTAATAGCTAAGAGGTTCTTAACAGTGCTTAAAATTGATTTATAAAATAAAATATTACAGAAAAAAATTGCAAAACCAAAACAAAATCTATACATACAGAGTCTCAAAATGCAAAAGAAAAAAAAAGTGTAAGTCAAAGGTCTTTAAAAAGATTTAGGACTCCTGAAAACTTCCCCTTAGCATTCAGTATATCAGGAACTCCAACAAGACTAGAAAACCAAAGAGCAAAACAACATTCAGTATGTCCACTACCACAGATCATTTATTTATAGACTAAGTTAAAAAATACGAATATTTTATTACAAAAAGTTTATCAAACAACTGTATACATACAGTTCATATTGTTAAAATCCAACATGTCAATTGATACTTTATGTACATTTGATTGCTAATGTCATACAATTGTAGAAAAGCATCACTCAGCAGAAACTGATTTGGCATTTGGAAAGTAGTTACCACCCTGCACTAGAAGAGACAATTAATATATGAATAAAACATTTATATGTTACAATAAAAATACTTATTTGCTGTGATCATTTAAAGCAAATAGATGCTTTCTTTCTCCAAGAAGACTCATCATAAGTGGCAATTAAAGTGCACATAACCAACGCATTAATAATTCTTCAGCAATTCCATTTATCATTCTAGATGCTCCAAGCACATCACAGTAACATCAAGCATTTTGGACATTTATCCGAGGCTTAAACAGTAAGTTCTGAGAGAAATTCAGCTTTCTAAGCTGCCTGAAATAATTCTGGTGTACAGTAAGATGAAGTAGGGTACAGAAATTTGGAAAACAGTGTTTGGTGAACAAGTCAGTGTAAATTCACCCAGATATCCAATTTCTGGGGAAGTATTTTCCATTTGAAAAAAGATTCATAGCACTTCATACAACTGTGGGCCAAACAAGCAGAGCATGCAGCAGTATTTACATAACCATCCCCGCGGTCATTCTTTGTGGGCTACATATAACACAGGCTGGAGCTACTTTATGCATAAATTTTGCTGGTGATCTAGGGGAGAAGAAAAAAATCACCAACAATTTGTTTACTGTAGACTAAGGTCGAAAACTAGGGAAAGTGCTCCTCAAAAAATGTAGCTCAAAATATTGGCTTTGCCTCATTACAAGCAATATAGTAAACCTTACAAAATATAACACCACCAGTACTAGCAGAGCTGTCAAGGGGATTAACTTTAATAAAACAGTCCACTTTGGATAAAAGAATGCTTATGCATGTTGCAACCTGTTCAAAAGTAACAAGTGAACAGGCGAAATTCACATCCACAAGAGAAGCATGACATGTTCACTGCAACCAGAGTGAGTTGCTGGTAATTATGGTTATAATTTTTATCACGCCAACTGCTCACTAATGGTAAAAACCGCTTTTTTTCTTTTCTGTTTTGTTTTGGGGTGGTTTTTTGGGTTTTTTTGTTTTGTTTTTTGGGTTTTTTTGTTCATTTTACAAATATGAGAAGTTCTGAGCCATTATACTTGAAGAGCATACTTCCATCTCTTAGGCACTGGACCATGCCTGTTAATGTGACTTAACATCCTCAGGTTTCTGAAGGACACCCACATGAAGTTTACATACAGCACTACAAATACACATCAGATACTGCTGTAAATTTATAAGGAATACAAAACACGATTAAATACAACTTTCACCCCATGGCACATCAAGCATGGCAATACCACTTGTTTCGTATCTGCTTAGCAACATTCAGTTGTGGTTATGCTTTATTGAGTATTTTCCTTTCTGTAGCTGAGAAATATACAGCTTGGACTTGCTTCCATCTGGTCTTTTAAACCAAACTTCATCATGGTTAATTGTTGTAATTATGGCACTACAGAAGTTGAGGGGGAAAAAGGGTCAGGGGAAGAAAAACAAGAATAATTTAGAAAACTTACTAATTAAAAAAACCCCTAAACTAATAAATAACCTCAAAACTGCAGCTGTATTTC